CTTACAGACGCTCTCTCTCTCTCTCTCTCACACACACACACACACACACACACACACACACTAACACACACACAAACAGATGTGAGAGGGAAACTCGGTTTGACGTCACAGGGTTGCTAGGCGACCAGCCGCCGTGGTAGTGAAGATTTTCCACTGCAGTACAAACACAGTGTGTGTCTCTCAGAAAGTGTGTGTGTGTGTGTGTGTGTGTGTATGTGCTGAGTTATAGTTCAGGACATGAACATTAGTTTTTGCCCCGTCAGAAACAGAACAGAAAAATAGTATTTTTTGTCATTAGATATTAGGTTTAATTTACATTTTTTTAAATATTAATAAACAAAGTGGAGTTGTAGAGTAATGTTAGGGTCAGTGTATGTGTCCATGCCAAAGATAACAAAAAAGGGTTGCGACTCAGTGCAACAAAAGTGACCGTATGTGTGATAAAGAAAAGCTTCCTGTGTGGATACAGTATTGTCTTCTTCTGCAAAGTTCAACCAAGTGTTAGTGTGTGCAGAGGGTGTGTCAGCCTTAGCATTTTTGTCAAGTGTAACAGTTAAACATGATTGGCCAAGTCTTTGATCCAAAAATAGCTTTGTTTATTAAGGATGCAACATAAATGAATTGGAAAAAACTTCCCAGAAAAGCTTCCCAAAAGCATCCCAGTCTATACTTACACCACAGACAGCGTGAGTAACAGCACACACACAATCTGCATCCCTTTAAAGACCTGCCTTACTTCCATTCTTTTGTAGATTCAGCATAATTAGCTTTAACTTCTGTCATTCATTTCTCTGTAAAGTTGTAAGAACACACCTTTAAACACAGACACTGCTAAGGGTTGATAGAAAGTTTGTATAAAAAAAAATCAAATCAAACTTGTAAGATGTGGCGCTTCAAATTCACTTGCAAGATAAGTTTGTTTGTTTATTACGATCCCCATTAGCTTCTGTGTTAAACAGTAACTACTCTTCCTGGGGTCTCCATATCTTCATTGACAAGATTTCATTAAATGACATAAAACACATCCATGACATTCATACTGACAGTACAGCAAAACACAAGACATAACCAATGTAACATACAATACACAACACATACTCGAAAACTGTCTGATAAATACAGTAGCTAAATATTTTTATATTCGCCACTCAAAAAATAAAAGTATCTAGCAACTAGATCACCAGAAAGAAAAAGAAAGAACTCATAAATTATCCTATACAATGTCTTGTGTAAATAAATAAAATCTTAACTTTTTTAGGAAACATCTTAAATTACTTTCCATAATCAGAAAACTTGGTAATGAATTCTATGCCACCATCGCTCGATAATGCACTGTCCTTTGCATTAAAATAGTTTGACAACAAAAAACGACCGTCTAATGACTGTCAAGTCGAGTAGTTATGTCTATCCGAAAAAAATGACAGTTTACTGTAAAGTATTTCTGGAGTTTTGGTTGTAATAATATTCCTTATAAAACTCACTAATGAAAATTGCAAACTTCTTTTCACACTTAACCAGGCCAAATGATTAGTCATTAAACTTACTCTTGTGCTCGACAAGCAGTTTAGGACAATGCGAGCCGCTTTGTTTTGTGTGACTTGCAGTCTAAAAAAAGTTGTGTTTCAAATGCTTTGAAGTTAATTACACCTAAAAGGAGGGTGTCTTCCCTCACATGACATATCTCTTAACGTTCTTCTTCTTTCCTTTCTCACATTAAACAGACATTTTATGGAAAGAAAAAACAAACAAAGATGCCTATCTATTGCAGGTGCCCCTTCACTGCCAATTAACAAGAATAGGGAAACACTGGCAGCACACGTGTGCCTCCTAACCTTGGAGAGATGCCCAACAGTCAAAAGATTAGCCAAATGGTGTCTATAAAAGGCCCTGTGCAGACACTGAGTGTGTACACTCTTCAGGTATGAGTTGATACAATCATAAAACTAATGACCATAACAAAGCAGACAAGTTCAGATGTGCTTACACCAAAAGAAATGAAAACGTCATGCTTACTTAGGTGAATAATGCAAAGGAGAAATTATAATTTAAAACTACTGTGAAGGAGTGGATTAAAATGACAGGAGTCATTCATAGTGATTCAGAGCTTTTTGATAACAAAATGTAACTCTATATAATTCTGATACATGTTTTCTAGAAAAAGTACTGCTAATATATCTTTGGATGATATCTGGATGATAATTCTTGTAACTGGTTCTACAACAATTTGAGTAATTGAACTCAAGCCATAGTTGCAGATGATGTTAAGTCGTCCCTCATGGTGGTCAGAAAGGAGTACCCCAGGGATCTATTTTAGGGCCTCTTCAAATCACTTTGTAAATAAATGCGCCCTTAAACAGACAAGCCCATTTCTAATAATAGTATGCTTTTAGCAGTCTGCTGAATCACAAAATCCCTGGCAGGTGTAGAAACTATGCAGAGTTTGAATTTTTCAGTATCTGGCTGAATCACAATCTGTCTGTAAGGTCGTACATTTCAAATTCATATAAACTTGGAAGAACTAGTGGTTCACCATGATAAAGTGAACTACTTGCAATTGTTCAGAGGACTGCAAAAACATGTAGAGGTTGCTTTTAGTTGTGTTTCTAAGTTTACATTTTATTATGTTTTTACTTGTATTGGTGCAGGACTGCCCTTGAAAAGAGATCTCAGTATCAGTCTGTCCTCCCTGCTAAAATACATTAAATAAAAACTTGTAAAAAATTGAACTACTTACATCATTCGTTGTAAATATGTATAGTAAATATTGTAAAATGTCTGATTGATTAATACTCGTATTTTTTGTCTATTTCATTTTAAGCTCACAGTATTCCTCTGCCTTTCTTCCTCTCTCAGTGTCACTCCTCTTCACTCTCTCCCTCACTTCTTTCCTACATACCTCCCACACAAGAAAGCATGCGTTATGTGTAGCTGCATGTCTGCCTCTTCTTGCACACATACAGCAAATATCCTTAGAATACCATCTGATCAGGATCTGTGACAGGCTACAGACATGAACATGAAGAACCCCGATGTTTGACATCTCTGTGATATGATGGGGGAAATCCAGACTTTTAATAGGAACAATAAAACCCTCTCCTTCAGTCAGCTGCTGGAGCTTCTGTCTCTTTCTTTGCCAGGATAAAGGAAAAAACAAATACCGGGAATATGCAAAGAGCAATACAAACACTATTCAAATCCATCAGCCAAATCCATTTAAACAAATAGCTTGTAATGCACATCAACTAGGAGGGCCAGGGCATTCAAAAGGGTGATTAAATTAAATATGCAAGAAAAATGCATCCATCACACACAATTAGGAGTCTCATAAATCTCAACCACAATAATATAATAAAATAATATATATATTTTTTTATATCTGCCATTATGCAGATGATGCAATTATTTCAGGGTGGTGTGTATTCCAAAGCTTGCATCATGGTCAGTTGGCCTACTCGCTAACGGGGAAGAGATTGCAGATTTTTCAAGGTCATACAAAATGACTATTGAACAGAAAAGACAGAGAATATGAGTGCATAAATTTGAAGTTTTAAAGAAGGGGCACTTCTTGGACAGGGACATTGTTCACCAAACAATCGAAGAAAATCAGTTATACAATCCTTTGTTAAATCGTGTTTCAAAGCAGAACTGAGATGAACTTGTGAACTTATACCGGCTACAAATAAGAACACATCCACACTCCAACCTACACACACACACACACACACACACACACACACACACACACTTTGAGGCACAATCGTTAACAGAGACCCAAGTGTCTTCCAAGAGTGGCTGCAATTTCACAAGTTGTGCACAAGCTAGGTTTTTAGCTTTAATAAGAACCTTCACTAATAATAAGAACATTATTTATAATGACAAAACTATAACTTTGTCAAGCTATTAACAAATCAAAAACCATCAAAATGTTCTTGACAAAGTAACAGAACTTCACCTTGTTTTTCTTCAAACATGCATACTTAATAAAAACAATGTCTTCCTGTCTGTTGACAGGAACACAGCTGACATCAATTTAGCAGCTGAACATTTTGATTTCAGGCAAACCATCAGAAATCTATGACCTTCAAATGGACTGTGTACAAAAAGTGACATCAAGCTTACATTGGCTCAGTGCATCAATTGGTCACATAAATAATGTACATGCGCTCTTTACTAAAAAATGAATGACTACCGCAATGCTGGTTGCCCTGTGCCTTTACTTTGCAGAGTTACTTTGAGCTAAAGGTAACATCAGCAATTCTAAGATGTTGATGTTTGAGTTTATTTAGGGATGTTTACACTGGTGTTGAGCAATTATTTAGCAATTTAATTATGATTGCCATATGAGCATTACTAATGAACACACGAGGGAAGTCTGAATTTACCCCAATGATTAAGAAGTTTGTCTTCTTTTCTTTGATTTATTTTTGGGCTTTAATGACATTATTGGGTAGGATAGTGGATAGCGACTTAAATCAGGTAGAGAGAGGGGAGCTGTCATGTGGGAAAGGAGCCACAGGTCAATTTGAAGCCAGGCTACCCAATTTGCGGACCATAACCTCGGTACATTGAGCGCGACCTGATCGCTAGGCCATCAGCATAAGAAAAGTTATTTTATAAAATTTTGAAAACACAGTTATTTTGTAAAACATTTGGAATAGCAGATAGACAAATACTGGGAGTTATTGTTAATACACACTCTTTAAATGTTGTTAATTTATGGCATTTCATATCGTTATTGCAGCACTGAAAAGTGGTAAGACACATCACATATTTTTCTCAGATCTTGTGAAAATTACCAATTAAGCTTTGAGTTTCCAAGCCTTTAATTTAACTTGTCTGATTTTCCCTGACTGAATGATATATGGCCTTCCTGGTGACCTAAGTTTCTCAAGGTCATTGACATTTTCAAACTAAAAAAGATCTTCGAAATGTGAGGCAGGTCATACCTGCATGAAAACACATGAGCAGAAGTATATTCTTACTTGACTTTATTTACTTACCGCTTTCTGTTTGGAGGTCAGGAGAGCAGGGTTGAGAAGCTGCTCTCCTTTCTCTGTATCACTGGAAATATCCTCCTCCGACTCTTCCCAGGACGAGGAGAACCCCGCCGAGGAGGCCGAGGAGGACGACAACTTCCTGAGGGAACGGGTGGAAAAGTTCGACCCAGGGACTGGGCTTGAACCTGGGCTGGGGGTGCAGCTTAGTCCCTGGTCTGAGCTGGAGCCTTCAGAAGTTTGAGGTGGGCTTTCCAAACCGTGGTCAGTTATAATGACAGCAGGGATAGAGGGCGGGATGGAGGGAGGAACAGAAAGAGAGTGGTTGGAGGTGTGATCTTTGTTGTCCATCAAACATGAGGAGATCTCATTGCTTGGAGTAAGAGAAAAGGAAGGTGTTTCAGGATTAATATCCAACCTGTTTGCCTCTTTCTGGTGCGTCATTTCATGACACAAGTGGTCCTCTGTCTCATTTTTTAATTCTCTCTCTCTCCTCTCTTTTTTGTCTCCCAGTATTTGATTGTTTTCTATCTCTCCTCCCTGTTTTTCGTCATCCTTTTCTCCCAGTCTTTCGCCATCATTTTTCTCACTATTTGTTTTCCAATCCAGGTTTAATGTCTCAATGGAAGCCTGAACGTCACACAGCCCATCTAAAAGGGGATTTTGGATTTTTGTTTCAGAAATGCAGCCATTTTGACCGATGAGTGTCTTGTTCCCTGTGTTTTCTTCTGTTGCACCACTGTCCTTCTTTTCACCTTCCTGTCTCCCTATCTCCCTACTTTCTCCCTCCATGGTTTCCTTCTCAGTTTCTCTTCCATTTTGGACCACAGGGGGGACTTTACTCTCTGGATGGTGGATCATTGAGGATTCAGGAGCCGGGTTTCCTTGGCTGGAATGGGCTGGTGATTGGCTCGTCGATCTTCGTGGAGACCGAGGGCTGCGCTGAAGCTCACTGTTGAGCACCTGGGCACGAATTCCCGATATGTGGGCCTCAAATATTCCCACTTTCCCCCTGACCTGTAATAGAAAATGAAAGTAAGAGTCTAAATGTAGTCTAGATTTGGTTTCCTTGGTTAAACTGAAGAGAAGTTAATTTCTATCCTTTTTTTCACATTTGGTTTTGGCTGCTTATCATCTCACAGGTGCACTGCAAGCATTGGCAAAAGAATATCTCTTCAAAATGTTCTGCCTTTATTAAGAACATGGAAAAAATTAAATAGCTTCTAATGCTTGGCACATAACAAACTGTCAGGAAAGATGATTTTGGCAAGATTCTAGTTTAGTTGTTGTTTATTTTCAGTTCCTGAAAACACATGTGAGTGACCTTTAAATCCAAAACCAAAAAATAGTGCTACTGTAACATCCTAATTAAATCAATGAAAAATGTTAATATTTAAATTTGCTTTAATGTTAATTCATCATTTAATTTAAATTCTAGACAATCAGATTTGATTCATTATTACAGAATGTTTTGTTTATCTACTGTCTTATTTAAATTATTAGCATACTTATGATGGATAATGATATTAAAAAAGGTCATTGAAAATGACATTGAGTGAACATACAATAGTATGAACCTTGAAAAAAATGAAACTATTGGGTGAAAAGAGCTGTTCATCAAAAAAAGAAAGACTAGAAGTCAGCTTTTCCAGCTTACTTACAAAAGGTTACTTAAATATGAAACAGCTGAGTAGAAGGAAAGCTCGGTGAGAGTACTGACATTGTTCTGACAAGCCCAACAAATCAAAACAAAGTAGTAAATCCTTCAGAGTGTGAAAGCATTGCTCTAGTTTGCTTAAGGAATGCATTCCCAGACGAACCCAGACAGACCAGACAATGAAGACAATTAAGACACAAAGGAAGACAGCGATACAGATTAAAAAGATAAAAGAAGAAAATAAAATGTCAAATCACCTCGACGTTCTGCAGCTCCCTGTGTATCTGCAGCAGTTGTGCCTGACGTCTCTTCTCCTCTCGCCTCTCTCCTCCTCCAGTCTCCCGTCCCCTGTCCTCCTGCCCTTCTCCGTCCCCTCTCTCCTCACAGCCGGGCGAGCTCAGTCGTCGGACCCGCTGGCCCACATTGACTCCGAGAAGGTCCGGACTCCGCGGGGAAGGGGAGCGAGCGCGAGGGGAGGAGCTGGGAGAGAGTGGGGAGGAAGGGGGGAAGACGAAAGCTCCACCAAGGGATGTAGGGCTTGTCTAGGAAAGGAGGAACCAGGACGGGATTAGCATCACTCCGAAAGATGACACATGTATGAATTGTAATTAAAATAGCAGCTGAGAGACTGGGGTCTAAACTTAACAAGGTCTTACTTTTCTATCTTCTTTTTTTTTTTATTTTTTTAACTTTTTAGGAAGCTACAGGACGACAGCTTTGACTACCTTGGGGCTGGTGGGGCTGTAGAGACCTCCACCCAGTAGCTGAGAGTAGGTACTCCGGTCCGGAACTGGCAGCACAGGTCGACCAACTGGACTGGTTCTTGCCGCTGAGTTTCTGCTCGAGGAGCCTGGCTGGGTGTGGAACTGATTATTGCTGAGAAAAGAAAGTGAAAATATCAGAGTCTTTTATTTGTCAAGTTTTGTGGACTCTTGAAAAAATCCTAACTAAAAGTACTTTACTGTATCAGGTTAAACATTGCTTTGATTGCAGCATTGATTGCGTAGCCTATCAAAGGCCTGAGATTTTCTCTTATTTCACAGTCTTCATTCTTAAAATCAAAAAGACTAATTTGGCCTATTTACAGTTTAATTTACAACAAAGAGTACTCCTACAACCACATCTCTATTTGATGCAAAAATAAACATGAAGGCAACTGCTTACATCTGATCCTTAATAGGAGTTTCACAGCGAAACATTTCTTATATCTTTCCTTTTAATTATTTGGATCACCATCTGTTCTCCCCTTCCTTTAAATTGTAGATTTTTTTGTGCTCATACAACACATGTAAAATCAATTCAAACTTGCAGCTGTGACATAAACATATGGAAAAGTTCAAGCGGGGTAAATATGTACGCAAGGCACTTTATAAAATACAAAGTAACTTAAAATAAAATAGTTATAGTCAAAATAAAACATGTCTGAACAACATGTCCCCACATCAGTTAAAGACTGAAAAGTGAGTACATTGCAAATCTGTAAATTGTTAACAAACAAAAAACATTCAATACATAAGGCATTCATAGTGTGAAGAGCCAAAAGCTTGCAGTGCAGCGAAGAAGGAAAAGAGAAAATAGTTACAATAGAGAGAAATATTTTAAGCATCCTGCAAGTGACTGAATATTTACCTGTTATAATTAAAATAAAGTTATCTCACGAGTCCAGTGTAACAGCTTTTTACCTGCAGTGATTCATACTGACCAAACATGTTTGAAGTATGCACTTCCTCCACAACAACCTCTTTAGGAACACAGACGTCTTAAAAACAAAAGGAGACGAAGTATAAAACAAACTGGAAAATAAACCGGACCTGTTCATGACTCTGAGGCTGTTCAGGTTCAGGGCAGACGCTGCCATCCCCGCGGCCTGGCCAGGGGCTGTGAGTGCTGGGTACACATCTGACAATCTCCCTTGGAGCAGCAGGGAGGTCTGGAGAACAGCTCAGTGTTTCTTCTGCATTCAGGCAGCAACTGCAGCTCATAGACCGCAGGAATATCTGCAAAAAGACATAGATTTGTTTCATTCTACTGGATCTAACATGTCTAACCAGAGAAGTCAAAGTAACGCCTTTTTCTAAAAGCACAGACACTGGGAGTCCAACTTTCCATTCCTGGAAAACCATCCCATCCTGCGTCAGAGAGGTTATATCATTAATTCAAAATAAATGATACCATTGTTTGTGCTGGGATTAAAGTTAAATAAGACACAAATAAACGAGGAAGAGAGAGGGAGACAGACAGAGAGATAGCGATTAAGAATGGCAGGAAATGAGCTGAGGACATGTTGCAAACACTGGAAAATGTTTTCAATACAGGCTGAGATTTATGCATTGCTTATTTGAATGAAACAGCTGTTGTATTGCCTTTGTCTTTTCCGTAACAATAATTTTCTCTCCTCTCAAGCAACGTTACATAGTTCTACACCAGAACATCTTTAAAAAAGGTCTTAAGAGTTTTACATGTTAGAACTGTGACAACCCCCACAATGATCCTCTAGTCCAGCACTGCTTGTTTAAAAAATTTGCTCCAGTCTAAAAATACAGTTCACGTGAAGGTAACATTCTTTCAGGGAGAAAATGAAGGGAGGCACGAGGAAAGGGCAGAGAGATGGAGATACAGAGAAACATGCAGAGAGGGGAAATTAGAAAAGGGCAGGAGGTGGAGGGAAAGTTACTTTGGGAAGTAGAGAAAGGCACAGTGAATAATTGCGGTGAAGGACAGGAAACGATCTGGTAAATTGACTTGAGCTTGCCTTGTATACGGCTTTTCTAGTCTTCTGATTGAACATAAAGTGCTGTTTACACTGCTAGTCAACTTCATTGATTCACACCGCATTCACACCCTAACGGCATAAAGTGTCCTTGAGTTTTATCTATTCCCATGTATACACATTCACATGCCGCTGTGCCCAAGGACACTTTGACATGTGACCAAAGGTGCTGGGGATCGAACCCCCATCCTTCCGGTTGAGAGACGACCGACTACCACTAAGCCACAGCGGCCCCTAAAGTATTTACTGAGTAACCCAAGATAGTGAGTGGGGACAAAAAGGAAAAGGAAAAGAAAAGGCAACAAGTAATTACTCTCCTGGGTGTTAACGGGTTTCAAGATAACTTTCTGCCACAGGAAACAATGTATCTCTGTCTTTGTTCAAATATTTTCTGTTTAGGCTGAAGTCTTGAAACAGGCTTCTTGTTCCATGTGTGACTGAAACAGAATTAAAAACATCTGACCTACCTCTGAGGATCATTTGATTTAAAACAAACGTCCACATATCTGATTTAATTATGTCAACACAGACACACAACTGCCAGTGCTCTGATGATCCCAGCATCAGTCTTTTTAAAAAAAACTTTTTTGGTAACTTTTTTTTTCACTTGTCCTGTGACACAAGGATTCTCTCACAAATTTAGCCTAGTGGTCAAGTTCATGTTAGGCCCTACTACCGTATGTAGTTCTGATGACTTAAAAAACTCATATCATTTTTAAGAGGGTAAACAAATTTTGATATAGAATGCATTTTACTCAAGTGTTATTCAGATAATCAATACTTTTTTGTTTTTATAAGTAACGGTGAGAATTTGGGTGCAAAATAAATCAGTCAGTCACCAGTTATCAGGGTGCACAAGGCCCCACAAAGCCCCACCCCCATGGATGGCCCTGCTTCTACATACTTGTAAGAAGAAATTGAGCAGAAAAAAACAAAGTGTGTTTAATTTAATAATTTTCCCTATTTGACACACATGGTTGATTATAGATAGCTTACGGGACAGGTGTGCTTTGTGAGATTTAGCCTTTATAATCAGTAAACTATTTTAGCAATCTGGCCATTAAATATTGACAAATGCTAGAGGAACTACACTGTGCCAGACCCCCCCGGCCTGTTCGATGGCCACGTCTGGCCCATGTATTTGAAACACACATGGACATCACACCTCTGAGAGACACATAGATGTTTTCAAACCATCCTGCAAGACAATCACCAAAACTAACTGAAGCTCAGACCACTTGCGAACATCTTTTTCAGTGAAATTCAGGGGTCAGGCACATCACGTGCTGAGCTGCAAAAAGCAGCCTTAGGATGTGGTTTGAATACAGATAAGTTAAGACTTCAGGTCAGGGGCACGGGGTAAACATGGGGTTTCCTTGTTGGGCAGTGACGCAGTTAGAGAGAGGCAGGAAACTTTCTGAATAGCTTATTCACTCGAGTAGCTCACCAAGCAGCAGACACTGTGTAATCACTTCTCTATGTTTATTGGATGCTAAAATCCATGAAGACTCTGTGAAAACAACAACACGATTCAGGCCTAGGACGGGCATGGAGAGAGAGAGAGAGAGAGAGAGAGAGAGAGAGAGAGAGAGAGAGAGAGAGAGAGATGAGACAGAAGAGTGACAAAAGAAGAGAGGTGTTTACAAGCTATTTTGGTTTAGTTGTCTATTCTGAAGCTTTCATGCAGAAGCAGTAGATGTACTGTTTGAAACGGCTCAGTTGTTTAATAAGGCAGCACCGGGCTGCAAGAACAATTTTCACTCTGCATGTTGCACATGGTTGGAAACCCAAAAGCTGTTTTTTTGTTCACTGCAGTGAAAGAAAGCTCTGGGGTCTTGGAATTATCTGCATGATAAAAGGTCGAATACAGGCACATGGGTAATTAAAGATATATGAACTAAGAATGAAAAAGTACCAAAAGTGTTTAAAAAGTATTTGCTCACAAACTCTAAGCTCTGGTCTATCTATCACTACGGCAGAGGATATCTATATTTTCCAAAAAGATAACATGCATCTGCCAAAAATCCGCTCAAATATCCATGAGAACAGTGTATACAGACATTTCAAGATACCATATTTATTCTAAACATCCATGAAGCACGATAGCAATGAGACCTTGAGCACGACTTTGTACTGTGCTGATAATATGCTGTGATCATGATGAAAAAAAAAAAACACAGCCTTTAGCACACCAAAGCAATCACAATACCGATTGATAAGAATGTCAAGGACTATCTGTAGTGAGGATTCTAGTTTAAATAACCCTCCATGTAAACTAGCTCGGTATGTTTTGTCTGTGTTTGAGCGCAGCCCCGTGTCAGAGTGAGTGGGACTGTGTGAGTGTTGAGCGTTTGAACTGTCCATCTGCCTACACAAGTGGGCAACACACCTACAGACAGAGCTCTGAAGGATACTCAGACTGTAGCAGAAAGTTAGAGACAAATTAACAACAACAGATGGCAGACCAGAACTATAATGATATAATACCACCATGTGACGCAAGTGCATCTATTTTATCATACATTTTAAATTATTTTTCTCTTTTGACCAAATGGTCTGCATTTATTAACCATAAAATTTAATTTTCAAATTAGTTTTTTCTTATTGAGCTGATAATTGGTTTTTTACTCACTAGAGCAGACACAAGCACAGATAGGCCTGCTTATTTGTTATTTTAATCTATTAATATTTCCACAAAACACATTATAATATTACAATTTATATTAATGTCAAAAATCTACAATTAGAATTCCACAATTATTTAATAAACTCCGTGCTAGCAAGTTGGATACTCAAAGCAGGGAACAACACGTGAAGCCTAAAAGTTCCGGAAAGGGGAAAAGTTGGGTTGGGTGGGTTAAAAGGGACCCAAACAAAATATAAAATAATCTTTGAATTTTTTTTTTTTAAAGGGGAAAAAAGTTACATTCAATCCTCGCTGAATAGCGGCTTTATCTTTTGTGTGAGTATAAAGAGAATTTATTTGCGTTTCGGACTGACTGTGATGTTTGATGACGTATGAAAGAAAGTTATGGTGATTTTTCAATTGTTATTTGAAATTTTACATGACAAAAAAGGAAGCTCACTCATTCAAGAAAAGTACAATAGAAGCAGCCCTATTAATCACCTCTTATCTTATGAACTTCATAATGAACACTGCCTGCTGCGTGCTGGTTAAATCTTTGTGTGAGAGTATATCATATATCTCCTGCAGCTCTCCATTCAAGACAGTGATGCTGAAAACATGCTGGAGGGAGTTTCTCCGCAGAGCACATTTGTGCAGAAGCTGGTAAAACCAGAGTTTCTGTTATTTAGAAGTCAATATTTGAGTTTAAGCTCTTCAGCATAATAACTTTTGTTACTTACAGTTGCTGAAGGCTAAACATAAATGCATTATGTAAAAAAAAATGATTTTTTTTTATATTTTGACTTGGCTTTTCTCATAAATATAGTTCTGCAAATGATTTACAGTACAGTAGGCCCACTATAGGCTAAATCATTAGAAAGCAGCTATTTACAAATAACTGCATCTGTCATCATAAAACATAGTTTATATTATGGATAAAAACCATAAGACAAAAATCTTTAGGATGCAGTTTAAAATATGGATAACGTGGTTTAAAACGTGGCTCCTCACACAGCTTGGTTATCCCTCTTACTAGGCCTACAACCCTCACAACTTTGACTGTAACCTCCTGATCTGCTCAAGAGCTGGTGATATTAAGATGTAATAAACTCCATCAAACAAACAATAATGTGTTCATGTGGAACACTAAACCAGGCCCTTGTGTTTTCTTACCTCTGAGCTGTCCCGTCTTCTCCGGGCTCCTCTGAGACACTTTTATTACTCTGAGTGATATTACAGTCAGCAGTAATGACCAGAGGAGGAATCTTCTATCGGAGTCTCTCACATGAAACACAAAACATGCACAGTAACAGCTCCTCGTGCACCGACACGTCTACTTTTCTACTACTCTTCTCGTTTCTTCCACACACACACAATCACACACACACAAAAAAAAATGTTCGACGCTGCCACAGGGTCCTTGTTGCTTCTTTACCTTTTTTCATCAACAAATCCTCCTCCTCCTCCTCCTCCTCCACAGAAGAAAAAAAGATTAAAAAAAAAACGTCTTTCACTCTCTTCAACGAGCGTTTTCTGTCGGGTTGTTTCAGGGAAACTTCAAAGCCTTTCGTATCGAGCCGAGGACTGAACGCCTGTCACAATTTGCTTGTCGGGATAAATAGTTTGGGAGGTTTCTGTTGTCATGCGTGTTGAGTGTGCTTGTAGTAAAGCGCTGTTTGTCAGACTGTTTGAAGCCGGAAGCGCCCAGACAAGTCTCTCTCTCTCTCTCTCTCTCTCTCTCTCTCTCTCTCTCTGTCGCAGTTCATTGGAGGGATACGAAACAGTCAAAAACCGTGCACGCGCTTGTTTTTTTGTGCTGCCAGCGTTTACACGCACGTGCGATGTAGTGGGGGAAGCCCTCAGATAAAAGTGAAATTTGCGTGCACAAGCGCGTGAGTAAGCACAATTTACAAGGAACAACACTTCATGAAATTAGATTATCCCCATGTTTTACATTAATAACAGGCCCTGGTCATACGCAACTACTTCATTGTCTTCATCTTTGAAACAAAAAAATAATTAGGCTATATATGGCGTAAGAAAAGCCTATAGTACATGTATCTCATAAAGTAAAATGTAGCCTCAAAACAGTGAAAGTACAGGCCTAATAATCAGTATAGGTGCCAGAGAAAAAGTCCACAAACTATTTTCATATTGGCAACAAATAGGTTGAATAATTAAAAAAATGCAAAATTCTTCTAACAAGTAAAACATCTTATCTCACAAGCTTAAGAAAGTAGACGAGTCGCATTAAAATGTGATAATAGTAGGCCTACCAGGTTTTAAGTTTTTAAAATCTTTTTTTTCTTTTGGACGAACACAAAACTTTTTTTCAACACAGGCATTTTCAATCCCCCTGTCAAATTAGACCTATCGTCAGGTTGATAGAACCATGCAGGAAGTCACAAAAACGTTATAAACCAATTGGGATAAAAACAGTGTATTTTTCCAAAAGAAGAAAAGTGATTCAAAAGTGAGTTAGCTATCAATCAAGCTCAATGTACTGTAAATGTCTACAGAAGGTACAATCAGACACCGTAAGTGGAAAAACACCTGTGTGGGTGTTTGACTGGTATAGGTGCTCCTGAGTGACATTTGTTATTAGGAGGCCCTGTCTCATTGTGGTGACCTATGTCTGAATCCTGTACTAATACATTTTACATTCTAATGATGACATTGTACCTTTACTACTTTCAAAAATCTATTAAGGAAAAACAAAAACATGTAACAAGTTGCTAATTTACAACATGACAATCTACATCAGCTTTGGGGCTTTAAAGTGAACAGAGTTAGAAAGAAAGCAATGCCATTTTCAAAGCTGATACATGCTGAAGGATAACAGTGAGGTAACTTGAGAAATATCTTACTAACATTTGCAAACATTTAGCGCTTTCCTCAGCAAATTGGTCCCAGTTAAAACCGAAGCTGAGCCAGTTTTGTGGCTCTAATCAGGGTCATACCGGGGAAAAAGAAGAACTCTCTTACGGACAATATTGGAAGTATTTTAGATTTATACAGCTACAGGAAACACGTTGACAGAGAAAGGGACCAAAGAGCCATTGCAGCTGCTTGAATAACAACTCAGACATGGAGGGAGTTTGGAAGCAACATAAAAAGACAGTTTTCCTCAATTTTTTAAAGGATATTTAGAAATGACACTGCAGTCCCTCAGGGAGACTGTTATAGATACTGTCAGATTCAAGATTGTATCCTGGTAGGGGAGCTTTAACAATGGATCAGCTTGTTTCCATGGATACCAAAGGATGAGATTATTTCCAGAGTTTCTACTTGAGACAGGAAACACTCACGTCAAGTTTGTCTGAGTTATGTGGGGGCAGAGTTTGGACAACAGGAGGCTGCTGGGAAAGATTTGGAGAGTTCCTTCTCGGCTTTCAGGATACGGAAAATGAAAATGAACAACTACTGGAAATATCCTCTAGCCGAAACAAATAGTATTTCACTATCTTTTGTTTGAATTCCTTTTCATCCGGTCATCAAGTGAAACCTTTAAATATCAAACCATTTTAGGCATTGTTGTTAAACAATTCAAACAAAGCCATCATAGTGGAACTTACAGAAACAACAACTGAAACTTGGATGTGATGAAATAGGTTCCCTTAAAAACAAAAAATTCAATGTATCGTAATATTGAATTTGTAATAACCTTGTAATAACAAGTTTAATCTGGAAGTGTTATGCATCAGTTTAGAATGTAGTTCAGTGGTGTAATGAAATCAATTGACAAAAAAGTGGCTTTTGTAGTAATAGTTAGTAGAAATGTATTGTCAAGTTTACATTGAGCTATTTTAATACTAAAATAACATTTTCAGGCTTCAATTTACCTCATATTAAGTCCACAGAAGAGGCTCTTTATGACGCTGATCTGAGAGTCCTGCGATCATAATCGACTGTAGTATTAAACTGGGGTTAGATGTGTTTTCGCTCAGCTTTTTTGGTGTAAAATACACCAAATTCCTCACATTTTTCAGGGAAGGCTACAGTGTGCCCATGTGACTTGATGTACTGTAGTGAAAGGAATGAAAAAACAAGACCACACAAGGATGAGGATATCACAGATAATACTTTTCTCACAAATAATTAACTCATAACACTCTTTTTTAAATCATAATAATGACTTAATATCTGTTATATCTTCCTATGTCTTCAAAATATACTTATTCCACTTTGCTGAATAAAGTAAAACTGAAACTGAAGCTTTAAAGATTTTTTTCATTCATGGTTTCTTAGTGATGCAGAGAGGAGCTGCTGCCCTCTAGTGGTCTCTGAGTGTAAGGCATGACATGCAGTGAGGCATCAACGCCACTTTTCCCAACTCGACAGGGCCTTTTTGTGAAATAGAGTGTAAAGGTTCAATGAGTAATTAAACTGAAACGACAAAAAGCATAGCAATATATAGTAGAATGCCATGGAGACATGTTTCTTATCCATGCACGATTAAAACAAAAGCATCAGACAGACTTGAAGAAATACAGATAGCCTGCCCTATACAAATGCATTGTGGTGCATTTAGGTACCATGAAAAGACCGCACTTTCTGTATAGCTGGTAAGGCTCCCAAATGTACACACACACACACACACACACACACACACACACACACACACACACACACACACACACACACACACACACACACACACACACACAGACACACACACACACACACACACACACTTCTATCAAATGAATGCAGAACCACAGCCAACCAAACACACGGCAGATACAACCTTATATCAAATGGAAACTCTCGGAGCTGCCTTGAGATGACTGAAGAACAGGTTTTAAAGCAAATAGAATTTTTATCGCCCTTGTTGGTTTATTTCAATTGGTTAAAGGGAATAGATGGGCCACCCATGGGTGCAACACCACTATTCTTCTTCTTCTTAAGTGGCGTCTTCATCTTTCCCACATACTCTCTTCTTTGTATCGGTCTTTCCATCAGGTTGTTTCTCCTTCATTTCCTCTTTCTCTTCCTTCCTCCATCCATTAGCTGACACCTGATCCTGCAGTTTAGAGTTACAACCCACTAAGAGGAGTAAGGAAGAGAGAATGAGATCTAGAGGTAGGAGAGAGAGAGAGAGAGTGTTTACATAACATAAAACAAACAGGTGTGAAGTATTTGTTCAATGTCAGAGTATTTGTTCAGCACAGTAAAGAGAGCGACAGAGGAAGAGTCAAACAAGAGAATACTCGGTTCAGTCCAGCAGCTTGTCCCATTATCAACTGGTTGTCAGGTAAAATACAGTTTAATGTGTGATATGAGCTGTTTTTGAGTGCATTGTGTTATCATCTTTTTTTTAAATCTTCTTAAAAGCTCTATTTCTTAGATTTGAATACATATGCATATGTTTGTGTATGCACCATGTAAGTCAACACTGCAATGAGAAAGTTTTAGATTATTATTTTCTGACTACAAAACATGCACTGCTATGTGCAAAGCATTATGCTTTACTTTTACTTAGTAATTCTAGTTGTCTATGAGCACAATTTTCTTTTTTTAAATAGCAGTGAGTGTCTCTTCCTGCTGACCACACATAGTGGTTTAAGTTATGAACACTGTGGTGTAGGTTGGGCTTTCACTTGGTTTCTGTTACACATAATTAACCACATTAAGGTAATGTCGTCACCCTTCAGCGCTCTATAGTACTGTTGTTTAAATATCTAAAATATCTGTCAGTATTTTATTTCTCAACAAAAAAAATCTAAAATTTCCGATCTTCATCCATCCTAACCAAACATGACTTTGTACTTAGCTAATGTTAAAAAAGGTTTCACTCAAGTGAACTGCCTTTAGTGCAGTGATCATGTGGTAAGTAATCGAGTGTAGAGTTGTCCAATTGAACCTAAGTGAAGTTAATTGACCCCATGTGAAGCATATACATTTTTTTGTCGGTTATTTAGTAATAGAATGTGTTGATTTGATGCTTCCTGGATTAATAATTATGTAGCCTAACTATTCATTCACTTCAAAAAAGTTTTTAGGTCACGTAGCATAGCTTTGCAACCTTTTAGTCTTACACTAGATCTCCATTACTATTATAACTTGTCATACATCTCAGACTAAAAATAAATAACTGTTTATATTCTGTTGAATATTTTTCCACACATTTTCAACTATTCCAACCCCCACACTCCTCAACCCCCTCCCCTCCAAAATAAACAAAACTATGGCAACAGATAGCCACTTTTGTTTTTTTTTGCCAGATCCACACAGAGCTGACTTTGTCAATACACTGCATGTGTTTTACGACAGTGCAGTTATTCTCACCTTCGGTGGACACCAAAGCCCACCAAACTGAATTTCTCCATGACGTTGCTTTAATATTGGTATCGTCTTGTACACATGACGCCAATGGTTTGATTACCACTGCTAACAATACAGGTGACAATGGGCACTTCTAGCTTGTTTCTTTTGTTGACAAAAATAGTTTAGAGGGTGAACCATTGCTGCTGCTTTAGGACACGTATATATTTATTTGATCCAGTCAATGAAATAATGACCTGAATTAAATCAACGAAAAACAGAAGTAAGAAAGTTCCATTAAGCCTCTCAAAGTTCTCTCGGCATCAAATCATAAAAGGAGACAAGGTCTCCAACAGGTGCTCAAATAATTTAAAAGCACTCCTTGTATTGTCAGCAGACTATCTCCCTTTTATAAAGCTTGATGTGTCTGGATTAATTAGTTAGAGTAGAATAGATTCTTGCATTTTTGTGTGAATAGTTTAGTAATAATCTTAGAATCACGTCGAGTGACCTTTACAGCCTCCCAAATAGTAATTAGTGTCTTTGAGGGGATCATTATTTTCCTTCATACAGTTTTTGATCCACATTTGCATTTTCGTTTTAAAAGCTGTATAGTTTAACATCTGCAAGCTGGTTGATCAGGTCAGAAGGATAGATTTCACACTGAAGCATGACTGGGCAATAGCTGGCCGAGGGCATACAGTTGGCTGCACGTTGGTTGTTCCAGTGGGCAGTGATTTTCTGTCCAGATGGCTGTGTCCATGTAATTCCCCTCAGAAGGACTCTCCTCTAATCCTCCAGAGAATCTGCACAGGCTTGATCTCGTGCATGCATGGGAACGAAACAGCTCGCCTACTGTAGCTCCCTGACTGTACAACTCTGTGAGTCTGCCAAGCCTGTTGGCTTATTGACACTGGCACAATCTGCGGGTATACAGAGAAGGACACTGCAAGTGGAGTTGTTTGTTTCAGCCAAGGAACTCGTGGGCTTTCAGAGAAAGGAAACAAGACAACTGGAGAGGTTTCTGCATGGAAAGATAAGAGGTGGATGGACAGAAGAGAAAAGACAGGGAGCTTTCATCGGGTCAGGCTGGTTAGATGAGGAGTCAAGACTTACATTTATCTTAATCTCAGTGTGGGAACTATTTCTGCAATATGGGACCTTTGATAATCAGGTACACTTTTTTGAATTTCTTGCCTGTTGTGATTATTTAGAGATTTTAAAGAATATTAACATCAATGTAAAGTATTTGTCTTTAAAGCGTCTGTGATGAGTTTATTTTAAACTGGTTATGAAACCCAAGAAACTAATAATGATGACAATGAGCAGCAAAAGCAAAAGAGATCATCAGCATACAGACTGACAATTTCTATATAATTATTTAAGTGCTTTAACCCTCTGCCATGGGGTAGGTGTAGATGAAGCAAACACTGGAGAAACCTTTTTTTTTTTTTTTTCCACAACAAAGTTTAACAAGGGGTGATATGTTTGACTATTAAAATAAAGCGGAACAAGGTATTTAATTAGAAAACTTTTCTTAAACATGTACGGGACAAATTCAGCAAAGAGATAAGAGGTACCGCTTTGACCACAGGGGGCGCCTTAATCAAAACAAACCAGAAGTTCCTCACAGGAGCTTTAAAGAGACATCAGATTCCAAAATGTTGTATCTTTGCGATAAATACTTAAATAAACTTCTAGATGTTAATCAAGAACTTTGAAGTAATTTTTTAAAACTTGAATCTTCTTTGTTTTGATGTAATTTGATTTCACAACTTGTGATCGAGTTGCCCAACTATCACGTTGTCAGCATTATTAGGAGATATTTTCCTCAATGCAGCCTGTGTTGCTCCTGTTATGATCCAAGCTGAGGCTGGTATATAGGTCAAGCTGTCCTCTGGTCCTCTCCAGCATGTTGCACAGTTCATTTTAAGCGCAGTGAGCCAAAATGGTCCAAGACTTGAGGGAACAAAGTGGAGATGCTTTAACTCAATTAGCCCTGTATTAATAGTGTGATTAGATGTTCCAGTGCGGGTGTGTTTCCTTTCTCTCTCCTCACACGAGGATATTATGTCAATAAAAAGAGATGGATGACTCTGTTTGTCATCACACCGGAAGAGTTCTGCTGTGTGGTGTGTTTTTTTTCCCTCATCATGGATGGTGTGGATGGTTTAACGGGAATCCGCTGTATCACTTTTAGCCTGACCCTCATTCTTATGTAATGTTTATGCAACTGTTAATAACCAGTCGGTAAAATCTTGATCTATTCAATGTAAATGCATGGAATTCTGTTGCAGTGCACATGTTGATTTTGCAGCCCAATCTGAGGTATGCAACCGCAGCAGATGTGGCTCATTAAATATATGATATAATGTCTGATTTTCTCTTCAATCTTTTGTGTTTGCACGCTTTCTTCGACCTGTTGTGCTCCTCTACTTGGATCCCTGCCGCTCTACTCATGGTGAGCCTGTTGAAACACACTCAACTTTACACAACACAATCTTTAAATGAGCTACATTAGTGGTCCATCATCAATGTAGCTTTCTATCTTAGAAGGTATTCTCTGCTACACTTCAATGGTGTTCTTATGGGGTTGTTTACTCCTCTGCTTTCTGAGATGTCCAATCTCCATGCTGCTTTACTCCATAATCCAATTACCTGAGCTTCTCTAATCTGGGTGTGGATGTATGTGTGGTGGAAGTAGTAATGCTTTTTGTTCTGCAATGACCTGTGTGTCCTTTGTGCGTGCAGAAGAAATTCATATATTCAAATAGGCTAATCATCATTATGTCCATCACTGTGAAAGAGCTTAGGTGGGAATTTCAAACATGGATGATAACATTAGTTTTAATCTTTCAATGTATAAACAGTATACCTGTACCAGTGCTTAGGTATGCTTTATGGTTTCCAGAATACTCAAAAGTTATCAAAAGTAAAACCCCATTAAGGGGGCACTGTTGACAACCAACCATAAATATGTATTTTACAGCAGTGCAGCAGGCTACGATTGAACTACTTTTATTGGTGCTATGAAAGTTAACACTGTAGATGAATCACTGCAAAGATTCCCAAGACAATTACTTTAGTCAAATTGAATTTTCGAAGTTGCTTGGACTATTATGGTTTGCAATGTTAAAACTAGCACATAAACTTCACAACCAACTAAACAACCTAATATTCATCAATTCTTTTATAAAATACATTGAAGTAAAATCACAGCGTGTGCGCGTGTGTGTGCGTGTGTGTGTGTGTGTGTGTAAAACCATGTACCACATCATCAACATGTTGCAGTGGCCCTTGCTGTCCCGTCGAGGGCGCTGCCTCGCTACACTAGCAGTTCAACATCTCCATCGAACGTCCCTCAAACAGAAATTGACAGCTCGACCGACCAATCATATATCGCAATGTAATACAGTATCTCGTCTGAGCCAATGAGAGTCAGGAAAAAGATGTTTCGGCACTGTATGGGGGCGGGGCTTGGGGATGATGGACACGTCTGCTTTGAGCCTCGGCCAGATTTTCGGTGTGTGTGGACTCTAGTGGAGACCTTTAGGAGGCTTGTGCGTTATTTTTTGGGAGGAGAACAGAGTGAGAGGCCACGTTTGGAAAAGTTCCCCAACACGCACATCGCTGAAAATTTAACAAGAGGTAACGTTTGATTTTTACCACCCTTTTAAAAAAAAAAAAAAAAAAATCACGTGATTTAAACATTAGCGACCGGTTGGTTTAATGCATTTATCGTATTTCGCGTTTTCTTCCGCCGATTTTTGGATATCTGTGTGCATCAACTTGCATTTTTGAATTAAAAAAAAACTTAAGAAGCAGTTTTGTGAAATGTTGAAACAAACAGGCTTTCCCCTCTGAAATCCGCTATGAGCAGATGCAGTCATACCTTCATGGCGCCTCTCTTCGTCCACATTATCCCCCCGGTTATCATCACCTAAACTACTCTCAGGGTCCTGCTGTTTGATGAGGTTAGCTTCAAAAAGTACCCGTGGAAACATTTGGCGTGGGCTCAAAAGGACATGTTCACGTTAATTTTCTAAATGAATAGACCCAAAGTGGTGGTTGTATTTCCTGGTGTAGAGAGCTACGTTAACGGTGAGTTTACGTGACGCCTCTTCTGATCCTGCTTACCCTTTAATGGTTACTATGTTACATCCGTCTGTGTGGGTTTTTTATTATAGATGGTTCATGTTGCTGCTTCTTAAGTCAATCTCTGGTGTGGTTGTTCGTGAACACGGAGATGAAAAGAACAGTGATAGTCGGGTTTATTTTTCGTTTTTTCGTTGTGTTACAAGGATGTTTGGGAAATGCAGTTCAATGAGGGAAGTAGCAGAGATATTTAATAACCATACATCCGCCCGAATCAAGAGATAAAATAGACCTTAAAGTGGTATGGTAGCATACTCTATTCTAGTTTGACGCCTAGAAAGTGTAACATCCAATTAATAAAAAAAAAAAGAAACATGAATTGGGGACCATTCCCTAAATTTAGGGGTGTGAAAACACGTGAGACCTATTTCACTAGATGAGCACCTGAAATGATCAATTGAGTTTTTGCTTATGCGTAATCTATAATTTGATGATGTAACAAGAGAATGATTGTTTACCATAATCTGTATGGCATAGGCTATAAATGGCTTTAAATTTATTTGATACACTCAAAACGTAAGAGCTTGTTTCAGTGTTTTGGTTGCCCTGCCCTCTCCTTCACTTTCCATGTGTTGCTACTATTTTACTACTGTGTTTACATACAGTGTAAATTGTGTGTGTGTGTGTTTCCCAGAGGGAGCCTTAGAAGTCATACTATCACAAACAGATAGGACAACATGCTTTACGATCTGACTGGATTTAGTGTAGATAGTGCTGACGTGTGGAAAAAAAACAAAAAACATGGGCAATTTGTACACATGTCTTTTATTATATAAGATATAACTTTATTTTTGATTAATATATTCAGCATCTGTATAACACACAAGCCATGACTTTACACAGTTGGCTAATGTGATAATACACATGCATTGATGTTGTGCAAGGTATCATTATCATTTCTGTACTTTCCCGTATAAAGCCATCACTGTTTGTTTGAATTCAGAAGTCATGGGTATAATCTTTCTGCACAAACCTCGCTAAGTGGAAGCCCCGTGGAATCGAACAACTTACATAACTGTGTCATCGTCGTCCATTCAGCTACATGGCACAGCCGCTGTATTAACAAGGTTCGAGTTTAAGAGCCCACACCACCACTCATTTTTATGCATCCTCGAAAATTGACTTAAACATTAAAATGTCTCGATTTTAAGGGGCACGGATGGATACAACTTTGTTTAATTTTACACCGCCCTTTTCAAAGCCTTGGACGTACGTAAACGTCACATACTTAATGAAGCTTATTGTATTCTGCACTGCTATTGTGTGTGGTGGATTGTATTTCAGGTTTTCAGATTATTCAGGACAGCAGCACACATTTGCCATTTTACAACTCTGATGAGTTAGACAGTTTTTACTCTCTAATTCAACAGTGAAACATGTACAGGCTCTCTGGTGTGCTCTTACTGTCGGGGCCTTCGCTCTCTATGTGTGCTTGTGTGTGTGTGTGTGTGTGTGGTTTATCTATAATCATCAAGGCCATGTTCACTCTCATACTCTCAGGATGTGCAGAACAGTGGCAGCTCTGTCAAACCCACTAATGAGAGAAGCCTTAATTGGTTGTTCTGGTGGGAGAATCTGCTCATTAAAGGTTAGCTGCAAACAACTCCGGGCCAGCTAGAGTGCAGGCATTACCTCCTTTTTTTTTTTCTTCCTCCTCTCAAAATTTCTGTTGTCAGGCAATACCCTTTTGGGATCCGTTGTTTTTTTTTTGTTTTTTTAATGAATCTGTTTTGAATCTATTCGAGCAGATTTGGTTTGGTCCAAATGTTACAAAACTTGGTTGATAGAGCTCTCTAGAAAATTAAAATGTCAAAAAGGCAGTAGAGCTGAAAAAATGGAATAAAAATAAAATGCAATGTTGCATTAGTAGTCTGCAGCTAATACTACTGCTGATTTCTTGTCATAGCTGTGCTAGTTTAAGTCAACTGCATATACGTGCTTTGATATGTCACCCTGTGAGAGGTAAAAAGTCAAGTTGAAGGAGACAAAAATAGGAAAGTAGAGATTGGGTGACAATAGGCGAAAAGAGGATACAGAAGCGGGCAGAGAGGAAGAGAGGCTGAGTGAGAGCGACAGAGAGAGTGAGAGATATTGCCTAACCATTCGGAAAGGCTATGGGAACATCCCTGGGTGTGTGTGCGTTTGTGCGTGTATGTGTGTTTTGGTCCTGACATGGTCGGTTCAACAGGCGCAAATCACGTCACATCAGCTCAGGCACACACGGGACACCTCGGCCATCCGAGTGAATGACAGGTACAAACGTTGTTTATAGAAAGGGGAAGAAAAAAAAATACTCTCTCCTCGCTTTGATGTTTCTTTCTGAATGATAATCGACTGTGATCAAAGTGCTGAGACTCATAGGTGGTTACAGTGTGGGTGAGCACATTAGATCATCTTCCTTTAGTCTGTCAAAGCTGTTCAACACTTGAGGCCCAAACACAATTCAAGCTCTTCCTTTCACCCCCCCCCCCCCCCCCCCTATTGCAGTAACATTGGGACAGTCACCACAATTACTGAGGTGGACATATTCTACAGTGTAGCAGTCAGCCGTGACTGGGTGAGTATTAGCCTCGAGCTTTCAGAGCGGCTTGGACAGCGGGCACCGCAGGACTTGCATTCACACACAGAAAAGATCAGAGGGGCACGGATGAATGGAAACTGTAATGCAGTGTTCAGCTTATTACAGAGAGAGAGAGAGAGGGGGGGGAGGAGGAGGGAGGATGAGGTGGGGAGAGGGATAGAGGGATAGAGATGTAGAGGATGCGGGGATAAAAAAAGGGGGGCAAGAGGAGTTTCTTTGGGCAAGAGGGTCAAAATGTTACCGAATATGTGAACACTATATTATGGAATAGTAGAAAAATGTTATATTAGTAGCTTTACATAGAGGTGTTTAAGTACTGATGCAAGTATCAGTCTTTGAAACAGCCTGACATGCTGGTTCAGGTAACCGTTACTCAAGTGTATGTATCAAAATTGGTATCCTAAAGGAGAATATTCTTTCCAGCTATACTTTGTAGTAACATTTTGTGTTTTCTGAATCAAATTGAACTAACAAGCTTAATGGGGGGAAAAGTGTCGACAACTTTAAAGCAATTAGTAGAGTAATTGTTTTGTTTAATAAGAGGGTCATAAGAGGGTTTTTATGAGAGGAAAAAAAGCCCTGGTGTTGAATGTTTCACATCCCAAAGGGAGAAAAAAGAGGGCAAACTGCTTCCCCAGCAAGTGTCCAGTGCTGAAAGAAACGATAGAATAAAAGACAGAGAGAGAGAGAGCGTGGGCCTGTGGCTTTGGCAGGGGTCCAAACATAGTTAAAAACAGATTAATCAGCATAGGGTCACATTCTCAAACAGAGAGGCTGAACAGAGGCATGGCAGGACGGGGCAGGGGCTTCATCTTTTAAAGGCCGTGTCTTAGGGAGCAACACGAGGAAGTGTTGGCACTCAGGTTTATATCAGCGTAGAAGAATGGCTCCAAACACTGATGTCTGATCTACTCACCCTTTTTTTAAGTGTGGTGGCCAGTTCAACGCAAGAACATTAAAGACGTTTACAGAGGTTGTCAGCTTAATGCATTCACCTACAACAAGCCGGCCTGTCAGTCAGGTCAGCTGCTCCCCTTATTAGGAATAACCCTTGTCCTTTTGTCAAAATCAAAACGGGTGAGTTCGAAGAAAATTAAAACCCGGTACAGTGTGTGCCGGTAAAGACATGAGCCACTCACAAAAAAACATTTTTTTTTGTACCAGGCTGTAAACATGTTTGTAGCAGGAGATACACTTTGTAATCTTATCCTGGTGAAAGTGGTTGCCCCCTGTTTTAACATCATGGCAACTGCAAACACCTCTTGTAACCCCTGTAACAAGAGGCCCTGCTCTTAGTTAGCTGAAATGAACGGATTCACATTGATTTTTAACTGACCTTCTTCTTCTTTAAAAACCTCCTCCTGCATAGGTGGTTGCTTCATACTCTTTTTGTAGTTTGCCAGTGTGTTCTGTTTTGCTCTTTTGGTTTAGACTGTGGATATAACAACATAGTATTGATATGAAGTTAAACTGTCATTATTGTGACACACTTGGCTTTGGTAAACATTATGACCACGACATCTTTACTTTGCCCTTAACATTTCTAGAAATGTTTAGGAGTGCATGTTAGAAAACAGCTCCACTTAAGCTTGATACACTCAGTAAAACAACATTAAAGGTATAATTGTATTACCTTTTAAAATGGTAATTAGTCATTGTTTTATCTCTATAACTTGTTCCCCTAAGTTCATCAGTTGCTACATTACCAGCCTTTGATTTATTTGATCATTCATTATTTCTGGTTGAATGAATGATTGATTAACAATTCATTCATTTATTTCAATCATCATGCGCTGGCTGTTCATTCATGCGGGCTGAGAAGTGCAGGGGCGGGTGGGGGGGGGGTCACAGAGGAGGTGGGACATGGGAGAAGAATGATAAAGAGGAAGGGATGAGGGGAGGATGGAGGAAA